CTAGGTCATATCGACAGACCCAGTGGAAGTCGAATTATCACAGTTCAACATGTGATCTCGACACCTTAACCACTACTCCAGGTTGCCACGAGTGCCCTCTTGGTCCAGAGGGCAGATGCGAATTTCAAGGAAGGCCAGGCCTTTTCCCATATCACATTCTTTGGTGGGCTTGTCGATGAAGCAAAGTTATATTTGCTATAACAATCGACTACATTATTTATTTTTCGCTTGTAAGTAGGGTTTTGAGGCTACCAGTCCAGCTTTCATTACTGGTTTACTTATATGCATATATCATTGTGGGAGCAATTTAATTAGCAGTCCCCTTGTCACCTTAAAGGAAACCGGGTCAATTCATTTCCCATATATCTGCCTATTTGTATGTCTGTCTGTCTGTCTGTCGTCTAGCTGTCTGCAGTTTGTATGTAAGTCTAGTTTTCGAGACTTTCAGTAGATGATTTATATATGAAGTGACAAGGGGACTGGACCATGTGTATGTAAGTATATACATATGACTGCCTAGAGGATATCTCTCTTCCTGCAAGTCTGTCTGTATGTATATCTGCATATTTGTATGCATGTATCTCTCATTTCGATCTGTAATTTGTCTGGCTGTCTACAGTTTGTAGTCTTCCTGAGTGTATGATTTTCAAGAGTGTGTCTGCCTGCCTACTTACTAGCTTATTCGTCTGTTTGTATGCCTATCTGTCTACCTGTCTGTATGTATGGTTGTTTGCTGGCCGCTAGGCCTCGTGGTTGAGTTCTGCTGGAGGGGCTAGTGAGACCGAGGCCAGGCCACATTTCCACTTCCGAGAGCCTGACATTCAATGCACTACGTCCGAGAGCAGCTCTTGACATTGTCTCAATTAGCCTTTTGGAAGTACAAATAACGTGGCGGCAACCCATCTGGGGCTCAGGCAGTGGTCATTTGTCGGGCGAGTCCGGCCAAATTATTATCTGTCCAAACGGGATTATGTTTTCGGCGTATTGCCTGCTTGGCAAGTTGAGGTGTTTCACACAAAACGTTGCAGAAGCAACCATATCGAAGTGTGCGAGAGGACGGCTTCCTTTCCTACCTTTCCGACCTGGTCGATCACCGTCCGGGTGTTCAAGCCGGAGACAGCTGAAGAGTGGGCAACGAAATAAAGCAGCGGGTGCTCCTCCAAAAGTAAAGCAGAAGGATGCGTAGTGGGATAAGTCATTACGATAAGTCTTATCTGTGAGATGGGGAGAGAAGACAAATGGCAGTTGCTATGACAAAGAAACCAGTTGTTTATCCCCCTGTGAGCTCTGTTTATCCTACATCCATTCGTCATGGTGACTCATTTCGGGCATCGTCACCGGGCTCGCGGTGTAAGCAATAAAGCTATTTTGGACGAGATAACTCTAACCAGCTCAAGTCTCGTTTATCCGTTCCACTCTTATCTGGCAACAATTTTATGCCTAGCATTTCGCACCAAAATAGGATAGTTCAATCTGTCTGATTGATAAGGTCATCAGCAAGTTCATTGTTAGTACTTGAAGCGCCAACCATTTTGTTGCTTAGGCTTGATAACAATGGGGCGGACACGACATTTGTACACATGAGACAGACGTTTCCGTAAGTGCCATGGCAGAGGAAAGCTGGGAGCACGGTGGTAT